AGAATTGTAATTAAAGGTATTTATTCACGACGACCTCCGTGGCCGAGTGGTTTATACGCCGGGTTTCATGGTGTCGCCGACTTTGTCCTGGGTTCGAATCCCAGTGGGGGCAGATGTATGTGTGATGAATACGAGCATTTGTACTCCAATCACGGATGTTTAATATTTATTTCTATATAAATATACTTATATACGTTCAGTATATGTGTTCAGCACAAGCCTTACAGTGCTTACTTTGAGGCTAGGCAAATTTGTGTGAGTGTTGGATATATTTATTATTACTATTATCAAACAATAGAATTTCCCCGCTTTTCTTTCTAATCACTTCAAACGAATGCACGTGACAACTAGAAGGTATTCACATAAAATACATTGTCTGATAATGCAAAACGTAATAAAGTCAAAAGTTAACAGCGCTGATTCAATTTAAATTTTATTTTATCTCACCAATGTTTTCTCTTCTAATTCTCGGACCGTGTACCTTTGCTTGTCTGCTTCAGGATTAGTTAAATGAAAAGGGAATCACTTTTTTTTTTACAAAAAATGTCTCTCGCCCGACGGTCGACGGCTCGCTCTGCGCTGCTTGTTTGTCCCTTGCATTCTAAATCATAATAACTTTCGACAGAGTTCCACCGTCTTGGCATAATCAACGTCCTTAAAAATGTTTAAGCCAATTTTGCGGCAGCAAAAGTTATCATCTCAAAGGTGTATGCCCTTTGTATTGTTGACTCTTGCGACTGTGTTTCAATAAGCCACAAAGTTCGATTTCTAACGCAAAAAATCGTAAGCTTACTCTGAAACTTATTATAAAATTAGTTATTATAAGCTAGTAGCAGTTTCCCATATGAACTTCATTGTTTTTTTTTTGTTGTATCATTCTAAAACTAAAGGTCTGCGCATAAAACGTAGTGCTTACTAATTTTAAGTTTTCACGCTAAATTATTTACATGATTCTGATAATGGTTTTGTGAAGCAATAAGTAACTGTTAGAGCTGACTCTCTATTTTTGCCATTTTTGTTACGTGTACAGGTCATTGCACCCAACAATAATATTGCGCCCTAAAGAATGCATTTAAATGTATGGGTGATACTGCACGTTCGTGGTTTTCTTTTCTCTGGCTATATTTTAATAAAATTTAACAATTTTATTATATTTTAATTTTTTAGTATTTAACTGAGAACTAAGCATTTGACTAGATATTCAAATCTAAAGAAGTTTTGTTATCACAAAGAAGTTTCGTTGCTAGGACACTATTCCTAAGAATTACATTTTTAAAGAAAATTATGCTAGAAAAATTACACGCGGACCAGACAGCATTATACACTTCTGGACACATCTATTGGCCCACCTTAGAGTTTAGGTTTCGATGGCCCCTACCGAAATATGATTGCTAGATTGAACAAAAACTGTTGATGCAGTTTTAAACCTGATACATTTTACCATCTTTTTCGATCGTATTGTTTTAAATTTGAATTCAGAATACCATACGACATGGAGCTACGCCTAACAAGTCGGATATGCGCCTTGTTAAAGGCAATTGATTTTTGAATAAAAAAACATGTTTTATCAAATAAAGGTTTAATTTAATAACGCGTGTTGCCTCCATGGGCATCTACCACAGCTCTCATACGATTAGGCATAGAGTTTATTAACCGCTCTATGAAATTTTGAGGGATCATCTCCCATTCCTCTTCTATGGCAGTTTTCAACTCCTGCATCGTCTGGGCAACTGGCTGACGAGCCCTAACACGTCTTTTTAGCTCGTCCCACATGTGCTCAATGGGGTTCATGTCTGGGCTTCTGGCTGGCCAGTCCATAACTGTGATGTTCACATCCCGAAGATATTCCCCGACGATGCCGGCTGCATGGGCTCTTGCATTATCATGCATAAAAAGGAAATTTGGGCCCACATAGTCCGCGTATGGTATCACGTGAGGTTCTAAGCACTCACGAATGTACCTTTCAGCATTTAATGTTGGCAGTCGTGGTCCTGTAACAACCTCAAGTTGAGTTTTTCCGCTCGCGGATATACCGCCCCAGACAGTCCATGAGCCACCGCCATAAGCAACCCTCTCTTCAAAGCAGCATTGTGCGAAACGCTCTCCCTTACGTCGGTAGACCTTCTTCCTTCCATCATTGCCATGTAACACAATTTTAGACTCATCAGAAAAGAGTACACGGCTCTAATCTTGCTGTGTCCAATTTAAATGACTGCGTGCGAGATGAAGGCGCGCTGTTCGGTTTGCTCGCGTTAGTTTGGGCCCATTAGCTGGCTTGTGTGGTACCATATCGCGTTCTTTTAACCTTCTCCGAACAGCTCGAGCGCTCACAGATACTCCGTGGAAGTCGCGAATTTGTTTTTGTATCTCAATGGAGGTAAGGTGACGATTTCTCAAGCTGGTCGTCACGATGAATCGATCCTGCCTTTCAGTTGTGACCCGAGATCGTGGCCTTCCTTGGCGACGAACAAAGCCGCCAGTCTCTAGGTACCTCCGATAAACATTTCGGACCGCAGATCGACTTAAATTAAGTTGAGCACTCACGTTTCTTTGGCTGTGTCCGGCCTGAATAAGTGCCACAGCTTGGGCGGCGACTTCAGGTGAAGTCTCCATTGATAGAACCTCACCTTAATGTTAAGAATAAGTAATGTTTGTTGCAAAACCAAAGATATCAATCACTTTTTCAAGAATTAAATCCAAGTAAACCAATAAAACCAAGTTTTCTTAGTATTCGATTGTTTGATATCAACAAACAGGCTCCAAATTGTCTTTTGTTTCTTTAAATTCTGTGTTCTAAATTCAAAAAAAGACTATTGAATGAAATTGTGAATGTGCCAGGTTCAAAACTGCATAAAAACTTTTTGCTCGACCTAATATAAAATTTTAGCTAGGACCAAACGAAACTGAAAATACAAGGTGGGCCAATAGATGTGTCCAGAAGTGTATATTTTTGAGTAAGTATATTTTTCTGTAGATCTCTAAAGTGGTTTTTAGAATGTTCTTTAGAAAAAGATGCTTATTTAATTTTCGTTAAAGGTATACTTTTTTAATATTATTATTCCATATCGTTTTTTTGATAACAATCAGACCACAGTCGTCATTTGAATGGGATGTTTTCAGAGTTCCGCCTAAACAGTAATCTGTTTAAAACGATCTTGGAATTGATGAAAAAGGTCTGGCATTTTTACTCCCGCACGTTTAGATACGTGGGGCAGCTCAAAGCGATTTTAATGGAAGTATAAAAGGGCATCATTTCTGTCCATTAAATGCCTTTTAAACGTTTGATCCTTTTTTTATATTTACCATGGCGATGATCCGCGAACAGATTGGGGCACGGACTGGGTCGTGTTAATTAAGCCGTCCGCTGTAATGTAGGCTACAAACCAGCCAGTGTCCTACACGAGTGCCATTTACAACACAAAAGGCTTAGGACACGTATTTGTTTATTGTCTCTCACGTTGTGTGGTTAGGTTTTGTCTATTTCTAATGTATCTGACATAATAAATTGTTTAATAAAACACTGTATTAGATAGTTCGATAAAATAAGAACGTATATTTACTCTGAACTTTGAATTAATTAGTTAATTGAAAAAGTTAAAATTATTTATGAAGAACTATAAGGTACGAGTTCTATTTGAAAAAAATCAAACGCAACGCAGCGTGAAACACTCGGTTGTAACGAAGTTAAAAATAAATATGAGTATAAGTACACAACTACACACAATACGCTACGATACAGCTGACGGTTGTGACGAAGAAATTTCACACATTTTTCCGCCTAGATAGCCTCCATCCGCCAAGCCCTTACTGTCCGAAATGGAACTTCGTTCCAAAAAATTGTGTTCGTTCTAAGACTCTATACTTACTTTTGAAAAGTTGAGTATTTTACGAGGCTTCGAAGTATTCATACTAGTCTTTGCAAACTACACGACTCCATTTGACGTTAAGTGTAAGTGTTCTCTAGCCGATACAACACCACCAAAATGTAGTGTTACCACCTATCACTTTTGTCAATTAATAAGGTAATTTTACAGCACAATGCGCCTTTATAAAAGTCTTTTTAAAAGCTTTTTATTAAACTTGCAATGTATGTATTTTTGGATCAAATTTTGCATTTTTATAGCATTTTTGGAAATTGCATATAGCTACTATTTATAACTTGCTTATTATTATTTTAACTCACACTGCTCCTATGTAAGATGTCTCCGTCACCATTTGTAAACTATTTTCGAACACTCTTGATATCCAATTCACTATTCTTATATTAATACACTTGGCAAACGACTAACAAAAATTAACATTACCATGATTTTACTTTTGAATGAATGAATGAATGAAAAGTCATTTATTCAGTCTAGGCTGTTACAAGCACTTGTGAAGGTCAGAAGCTACGCTTCTTTAAGCTCTTTTGACTTGTTACCGCTAAATATCCTATTAATAATAATTTTACAGGAATGTACAGACTAAAAGAGAACTTGTTACCCACCGTCAAAGAATCGTCAGGCATGCAAATTCTTTATGCATAATATCTGAAAGGGTAGGGAACGGAAAACAGATTGCGTCTTCGGTTGGTGAGTAAAATATGAAAGGGATGATACAAAATTCTTTCAATTATCTCCGCGGCGGGCGCACGCCCTCAATAATAAATCATAGAGGTGTCGCAACTTGTCGGTGGCGGTAACCCGTTACACCGGCGACACTCGCAAAAAATCAAAACGAGGGGATCAGAAAATATAATTTCAAATAAAAGTTCAGTGAGGAGCAGTCACAAGTTTCTTAATTAAAACTTACGTCGGACGTTGGAGGGGAAGGAACTCTGACCCAGAAATAAATAAATACAGCCGAGCGCAGCGGCGCGATGTCGTCACGAGTCACTCATTTATTTGTCTAAAGGACTTTTGCTCAGTTCGTCGGACGTGTCTCATAATCTCTTGCCGAGTCTGTGTACCTCCGTCGTCCAATGATCTATCTACACCAATGCAACTCTTAATTAATTTTAGCATAGATGCTATTCACTCGTTTAAGGTGTTTAATGAGCTATTTTTGTTACAGCACTCCATGCTCTACTTTTTCCATCATTACGAGCTGCCCGTGATACTACAACAGGCTCAACTGCAACAGCTGCTACTTCGCACTCACCGTGGAATGGGTATGATGCCCATAATGGGCCTGGCAGGCATCGCCGCATTAGCCAGTGGCGCAGCTTACCATGATGCCCCAGGTACTGGCAGCCAAGCGACACCACCGACAACCCAGTCGACCACTCAAACCGTGCAGAACACAGTCCAATCTACCACCCAGACGTCCCCCTCTGTATCGACAGCTCAAACGAACACCACGCATACAGGGGACGTGATCTCATCTAGGACAACAGCTACAGAAACAAGCGCTACAGGCACCAATACTGCCTCCAACGAAAACGAAGAAACAACTGTCATTACTGCACCTGACAAATATAGCTCTCCAGCTGGAGGAGATAATATCAGAATTGAAGAAATCGCTAGGAAAACTTCAAGTGGTGACGTCACCGTTTCTTCCAATAGTAACCCCACTGTGGCAAGTTCTATCGCTCACAATGCGCCAAGTGGGGCTAATACAATCGCAAATAATGTCAGTGAACAAGACGAGACTTCAACTCTAGATCGCAGACGTAAGAAAAGCGATGAACAGAATTCAGACGACCCTCCACTAGAGATCGAAAATACGTCTACAGAAAGATTAGCCCCTAGAGCGTCCCCTTAAGCTGACGATATAGATTAGTATACAATATTAAAATGTTCTATATATAGTACATTAAATATCTATGTATTTAATTCTGATCAATCGCAGCTTCTGTGAGAGTCGAAGTCGCATTAAAGTAATATAGTTCTACGAGTAACTAGACGATATTTATCAAGGACTGCATAAGGAAAGTTTATCATTCTTAGGACGGTGTAAAGTTTGTCACAATTTATTTAATTTTCCCGTAAGTAAAATTAAGTTAGATGAGAATTATTTTTCTAGTGCAGCTGATGAATTTATCAGCACTTTTTGACAACTGCTGCCATCAGCAAAAGATTGTAAATATTTATACTTAACAGTGAACAAACTGATATGATCTTCTTGTGTTACGTAGAGTTTGTAATTTGTTTGTTTGATTATGCTTTGGGATGGCGCAGAAGTCGGCATACTCATCAGTGATTCAGTTTATGCAATAAAATTAAAATATTTTGTTCAAACTTTGTGTTTTATTTCAGTACAATTATCATCTTTGTATGTGTTAAAGGGTCAAAACATTACATTATCCTACTAATATTATAACTAGCTTCTGGCCGCGACATTGTCCATGTTAACTCTAATTTTTGGAGAATCCCACGGGAACCAAATATATTTCTGGGATATAATGTATCCTATGTCTCAATCCAGGTCATAAACCATATGCGTACCAAATAACATCTAAATCGATACAGTAGCTTTTGCGTGATTGAGTAACAAATATACAAACTTTCACATTTATAATATTAGTACAATATTAAAGTTTGTGTGTTTGTTACTCAATAAAGCAAAAACTACTGAACGGATTTGGATAAATTTTTTTACGCATATAGTGGACATATGATACTATTTATTTCGAAAAAGTGCAAGGTTCCTGTGGGATTCTCAAAAAACTAAAGTTTACGCGGACATAGTCGTGGGCGGCCACTAGTCTGTAATAAAATAAATGACAAAGTTTCCTCAGTTTTCGTTATCTATTGTTGTGGGCTAGTAAAAAGGATGTTTGCAGTTTTGGAATTATTTTATGAAGTTCTGTAACTCATGAACTGTAATAGGAACACAGATATAATATTAATAGAATTTGTATTTCTATTGCTGGGTAACTCCTAACCAAGTAAATAGGATAACTTTCCAAAATAAACTGATATAATGTAATGAACAACGTTGACTATAATGACGAAATACCGTGTTCCTTTGGTAAGTAACCAGAATAAAAATGTTTTCAGCACATTAATAATGCTTTTGGGTCACATGACTTCTCCATGGATAGAATAAGGAGTGTGTGATAACGACTGCAGGCAGCAGATAGTGGCAGCCAAATCTGATGCTTAACGTGCCTTCCAAATCACGGAGAAACTCTAGAGATAAAACATTTTTAGCTACCCAACCGACCGACCGACAATAGGTCTGGCCGTTACACACCCACAGTGAAAGACTGCACTGTGGGTGCGTCCCGGCCGGGAGCGTCGCGGAATGGGTGCGTAATAGCAGGACCCCCGACAATAGGGATGATGACGGGGTGAAGTAAACGAAATGTACTATACATATTTCATTTACTAGCTATAAGACAAAGAGAGAAAGAAAATGTGCGCGCGCACTCCTTTCTCTTGCTTATATCCCCCACCCAACTCCCGTTCGCCTCTCCCGAACACACTTTTCATAACGCGTAACGCATTCGCCAGCTTACCCCCCAAGTCAAGCGTGCGTAAAGAATTTTCACTTCAAAACTGTCGTCCTTCCCGGGACCCAAACTATATCATTATCAAATTTCATTCAAATCGATTCAGCGGTTTTAGCGTGAAGAGGTAACAAAAAGACAGAAATACACCTTTGACATTTATAATATTAGTATGGATCTTTGTAATATTGATGATGATATCCAGAAGGATACGATAGAAATCGTACATCCCCAAACCTACTAATTTCAAATTCTTCTCATTATTCGTTAACCTTTGTGAATATATAACTAACTATAATGTGCTCGTCTGTACTAACACTGGGTGTAGGTATATGTTGTGTCTGTCCTTGTTTCAGATTTGGATAAGAAAGACCTCAGTTGGCTCTTTGTCTATATCATTCCAAAGTTTTAGTTGAATTATTACAAACACATTGTACTTCACGGCCACATTAAAAGAGGAGGGTCTACAAAAAAGGATAAAACAGCTAAAATAATCGGTTCTGGCGAACTCCATAGGGGCGCCGCCAATATTCAAAAATAAGAAGAAGAATAGGTGACTCGTCTCTCAACATTTTTACACGTAACGTATAAGTATAGTACGTCATTTTGGCACGTTAATACGAACTTATATCCATGCTTCGCAATGCGCGTTAAGCTGTTGGCCCCGGCTGCATCTACAGGCGTTTGTACTCGCCACTAAAAACTGCAGTGCTATTCTGTAAGAACAAACACCCTTTTCACCTCGGAATCCGATCTGTGTTGGAATTTGAAACTAGAACACAAATTTCAAATCACGTCAATCGAATTCGTATTCTAATTTCAAATCACACTAATTCCGCGCTGAAAGTGAGTTTGTTACAGAAAAGTACAGCTGGGCCTAGGTGATGGATCATGAGTCCTTCTCCCTATTATATTCGTAGGATAGGCCTGTGCCCCAGCATTGGGACATTAACAGGCTGACGATATTGATAATAGTACGGAATCAAATGACTGTTAATAGGCCGGCTTTTAAAAAGGCCAAGCATATTAGTACCACCCCCTTTCATTTAGGTGTGTGAAGAATCCAGGTGCAGTACCCCGTATATCATGTACTTATGGGATGGATCACATTTGTTTATCTCGGCGGAGCACGGTAAGCCGTCAGACCCGGCAGCATCGACAATCGTTAGCTTGCCTATTTTTGAAGTGAAACTTCTTTACGCACGCTTGACTTGGGGGGTAAGCTGGTGAATGCGTTACGCATTACGAAAAGTGTGTTCGGACAAGGCAAACGGGAGTGGGGTATATCCCCGATTCAATTATATAAGCATGAGAAAGCAGTGCACGCGCACATTTTGTTTCTCTATTTTTCTTATAGCTAGTAAATTGTATATGTTTTTAGACATACATGTATATATTGTACACACATATATATATGTATATATATATGAATATATATATGTATATATATATATATATATAAATATATATATATATATATATATACAGGGTGTAAAAAACCTTTAACGAAGTTTAAGGTCGCATATTTTCCACATCATGATGATATTTTTTTTCGTCTGGACCATACCTGGGAAATTTATGGTTATGGAGATATTGAAGGTCAAAGTCACAATTTTTTTTCAAGCTTTTTACGTTTCTATTTTCAAAACGTTATTTAGAAACTTTTTTATAGACACACTTACACACACGCATACACATACACACAGGCACATTCTTTGCGTAGCGTCACAGTAGCGCGCCGCGCTATAAATTACGTACTGGAAAAAAATGTATTTTTAACTTAAAAATACAAATTTTTCCCACGTATAATATTTTGTAATATTACTTGTTTGGGTGTACAGAATGCGTACTTTGAGTCTTTGTCAAAGGTTTTTTTACACCCTGTATATACATATATATATATACATACAGATGGAGCTAAAGAACTTTCACTTCAGTCGTGTGGTCATAAGCACACTTGTTTTTTTTTAAAGTTAGTGTTTATGTTCAATAGAATAGCCCTCAAGCCCCATAATTGGCGAAGGTCCTGTTGTTTCATCGATATCGATAGTAAATTTGACTTTAGTTTTAAATTATAGAAACAGATAACCATTTGTCAAAATTTCACATATTTATTTGTTTCTTAGGTTTTCACGCACATCACTCATTAAATAAAACTAGTTTTTACGGGTTAATGCACGAAACTTTATTTATTTATTGACGTTTCGCAGCCTTTTCAGGTCTGCGTCGTATATTATATTCTGACGATGCAGACCTGAAAAGGCTACGAAACGTCAATAAATAAATAAAGTTTCGTGCATTAACCCGTAAAAACTAGTTTTATTTCACATATTTACTATTGTATTTCACGTAACATTAACTTTAGATGAAATAACGCGGCCTAAGCCATCTTGAATCACAAATCATGTCTATCCGTTTACATATCTTTTACGTTAACATAAAGACTTCTTTACTTACTTAACTTTCTTTGTTACTTAACACGAAGCCCTTAACAGCAACAAATATATAGGTATTTAGTCTTAAGCTTCGAAAATGTATCTTATCACAAAGAAAGCATTATTGTAATTCCTTTGAAATTTTCATGGAAAAAAGGATTGAAAATTTCAACGTTGCTCAAATTCCAGGAAAACGCCTAAAGGTTCTTCGTGAAAAAAATTAAACAATATATTTTGTTAAATGATTTACTAAAACATTACGTAAGTATACAATGAGTGGTTTTATTTTACAAATTATGAATTTAACTTATAAAGGTAATATAGTTGGTGGTAAATATAGGTAACGTCGCGTTGAAGATCCCTGATGGTTGTTGGTTTGCGGAAAGGTGAGGAGGAGAGCAGCATCATGATCTGAAAATCAAACAGGATGTGAGTTATTTTGAAACGATCCTAAATGTAAAGAAAATATTACTATAAAAAAATCCACGCGGACCAAGCAGCAGACGGGACTCGAACCCGCACCCTTCTCTATCCGGGCAACTGCACTGACCAATTATGCTACCGCGGCCCTGAGGGCCGTGTCCAATTCTTTCTGGCGTTTCTTAAGCTGCAAGGCAGCGCCACCTCTTCGCATTGTAGGTAAGCCACAATGTCAAATGAATAACATTACAAATATTAAAAATTTCAAAGAAGAAATAGCTATTATAGTAATATTTTTTTATTTTTTAAGCATGTAACTGCTCGATGTTTAAATCTACAGAAATTTATTACTAGATAAAATTCCACGCGGACCAGGCAGCAGACGGGACTCGAACCCGCACCCTTAACAACGATCCTAAATGTTTGACCACGTTTCTATAACCATTGAGACTTAT